TGCTGAACTCAGAAGACAGGCCCCGAGGGCGAGAGGCATGGGAGGGCGACAGTTCTAAGGTACAAGTAAGTGACAGCAGCAGCTGGGCATAGCAGTGAGCGAGGCCCTGAGGCCCAGCGAGGCATTCACGCATCCTGGCTCTGCAAGACCTCCAGGATGGCACGGAGAATGGCCGCGGCCGCCACTGCCCCGGGGTCTGGCTGATCCAGGCGCGCAGAGCTGATATAGCTGGCCCGTCCAGCTCCAGCTTCCATGTTCCTGGTGGCCTCGGCTGCGGCTTCTGCACTCTGAGGGGTGGGGGTGTGGAGCAGGTTCAAGAAGCAGCCAGCAGGCTTCCTTCCTGCCATGGACCCCGGCCCCTTCTGTCCCAGCACTGACACCAGGGTGGAGAGGTCACATCCCACACACTGCTAGCAAGGCAAGGGGCCACCATTCACCAAGGGCCTGCTATGTCCCAGACCCTGTGTGGGCACCCTATATATCTTTTCAGTCCCACAGCAACCCTCTGAGGCAGGTGCTGTCCTCCATTTGTAAAGAAAAAAACTGAGGTACAGAAAGGATGTCAACTTGTTCAAGGCCGCATGGAGATGGGAGCCTGGTGGTTCTCAGTCTGCCTCCCTGGGTGGCTGGGCCCAGCCTCACTCACCTTGACTGCCTTGCTCAGGATTTGGAGATTAGCCCCTGGGCTCTTCCAGGCTTGGAGCTCCTGTCCTGCTGCCCACAGAGAATCCAGCTGGACAAGGTGAAGGAGAGGGGCTGAGGACAGGCCCTGCCACTGAGGGTGGCCTTCAGGGCTTCTACGCTCAAAAGGGGAAAGGGCTGGGCCAGATACATACCATAGTCCTATCCCCTGGGGCAGCCTTTCCATACCTGGCAGGGAAGAGAACAAATGAGGCTCCCTGCAGGGAATCACTTTGGGGGTGGGTGGCATCAACCACCTCCCCCAGCCCACCCCCGTCTAAGGCCCAGGTCCCTGGCTCACTTCTGCATGGCCTCCAGGCCGGCATCCATGGCAGCGGACCAGGCTGGAAGGTCAGTCTTGGCCTTGAGCGGCTGGGCCGCTGCAGTCAGGAAAAGGCCATAGAGCTGGGGAGGGCCAGGATGCTGAGCACACGGGGCTGGCCCAGGCCTCGGCCAACCCAGGACCCGTCCATGTCAGCCCTCTGCCCCCGGGGGGCTGCCGGCACTCACCGCCCCGGATGAGCCTCCCATCTTCTCCAGTAGCAGGAGGGACAATTTGGAGAGTAGCTGGGCAGGGCTGGCAGGGGGTAGGCCCTCCTTCAGCCACCCCTGAATCGCTGCAGGCAGAGAGAGATGGTGAGGAATTCAGAGACCCACCCTGCCATCTGCCTGGATTCCAACCAAGTACCCAGGCCTCGCTGCCAGCCGGAAGGAATGGGTGCTGGGAGGGGCTGAGGGAGCCAACATGAAGAGACTCCCAGGCTCCCTCTATATCCTGCTGCAGTCTGGAGAGGGGTGGGAACAGGTCAGGGACAGGGACCTCGACGGTCACCCAACAGGTGATGATGCTTCCTCACGTCCCTGCTTTTTTTTTGTCTTTTACTGATTTACCTTGATCATGGTTTGTCTCTCCTACCACAACATAAGCCACGAGGGCAGTGATTTTAATCTGCTTTGCTCGCTATTTGATCCATAGAGTCGAGGGCAGCACCTGACCTGTGGTTGGCACTAAATACATTTTTCTTGATTCAACGATGCTGGATAATTAAGAACATTTCCCTAGTCTGGTTCAGCTGAGAAAAATAAGAACAGAATGAGTTTCCCTTTAGAATAATCTAAAGTTTTTATTCACTGTAAAATATTACATTTTATTCTGCGATAACAACCTTCCTACATTTGTAGTGTTAGAAGTGTCCCTTTATGAAAACAGGTGAAAGGGATGCTAGGTTTTGTGAACGACCTCTCTTGGCAAAATAAAAGTTGCCAACCCCACGTGAGCACTCCAGATGTTTTTGAAATCCTTCTGGTTCATGAAATGCCAAAATGTCACCATCAGTGTGCCACACCACCCCCTCTGCCGCCCCAGGTGGGTCCTGGCACCAACCTCTGGCAGCGCAGCTGTGAGTGGTGCCACAGTCCCCGTCGCCGGCAGCGCGGTCCAGGGCGTTCAGACGTTCCTCCAGGCCCAGAAGGGTGGCGCACACCCGCTCCAACACAAGCACCATCTGCTTCGAGGCTGCGCCTGGAGAGGGAGGACAGTGGGAAGGAGGCCTGCCTGGCCCTTCTCACAGCCGAACGTGACCCACGTGGGAGGTATGCGTGCCAGGGCCCCTCCACGCCCCTCTGCACTCCCTGCACCCTTTAGGCCTCAGGCCAAAGCCCTGGGCCACCTTCCCCAACAGCATGGCTTGTACCTCCTGCAGCAGTGGGATCAGGGGCCTCCAGGGGCTTGGCGGGCGCAGCCCGGCACCGCTTCCGCCCAGTCACCAAGACCTTGGCCACGTTAGGCCAGGCCGAGGCGGTGGTCTCAGCATCTAGGGACAGCAGGATGACTCTCTTAGAGACAGGCTGGCCGGCCAGGGATCAAGTGGGGCCTGGACTCCCCACCTGGTGGCCCAGTTCCCTCCACCGCAACAAGCAAGTACTGAGTGCCTACTGTGTACAAGGGAAAGGGGAGGGTCCCAGGGGGAGGATCCTAATACCCACTCATTCACAGTCAAGTGAGAGCTGAAGAAGGCTGGGGAAGCCAGAAAGGGCCTCCCCACAGGGTCCTGATTGTCATGGTCAGCCCTGATGGGGGTCTCTCCAAGTCCCCTTGGCTCCTTGCAGCTCCAGGGGCCCCTGCCTTCGCTGACCCCAGCTTCCAGGTCTCACCTATCAGTTTCAGGAGGGGCTCATCCACCAGCAGAAGAGTGAGAGAAATGCCAGGCATATCCAGGGCTGACATGAAGGTGCCCACCAGGGCACGAGCAATCTTCACCCCTCGGCCCTCTGCAGTACCAGAGCGTGGAAGTGTGTGAGAAAAGGAGGGAAGGACGGGCACTTCCCCCCAGAGCATCAGAGAAAGAAATAGAGTAAGAGAAAAACAAGAACTCTGGGAGTTGGGGCTCTGAGGTCAGCAGGCAGCCGGTCAGATTTCCTTGGGGCATCCCTCAGTGATGCCCTGAATGACCACATTCCCTGGAGGTGTCCCTTCTACAGGGGCAGATAAGTAGTCTCAGTTACTGCGTTCTTAGCAGGTCCCAAGTACTGTGTTAAGTGTGTTACATAACGTTTAATTCCATTTAATCCTCACAACAACCCTATAAGGCAGGTACTATTATTGCCCCCTCTTTACAGACAAGAAAACAGGCTCAAGGCACCAAGCAAGTAAGTGGCAGAGGGCCCGTTGTCTAACTCGGGCTTGACAAACGTGTACAGCCTGTGCTCTGGACCATTGCAAGACCCTATCTCAGCTGCTTTTCTTACATCCAGCTTCACAGGGTTGGAAGAAAGAAGCTCTGGGGGTCAGGAGGTCCCCTTCAGTGTGGGGCTCACCCAGAGAGCGGACGGCGGCGTCGGCTATGATGCCCAGTTCCAGGAATGACAGGCCACCCAGGTTGTTGACCATCAGCACCACTGAGGAGCCTGTGGGCAGACACGACACCTAGGTGAGACTCTCTGGGCCCCATTCCCAGAGGGGGAGGCTGGGAGACAGTGTGACAGCCCCTCACCGGACCGCACGGGCACGTGGGACACGTTGGAGGAGCTCGTCATGTGGTCCAGCATGAGCGCCACAATCTCATCGGCGGTCGCCATCTGTCAGAGGGAGCCGGGAGTGAGCTGCGTTGGGGGCCTTGGTCTTGGGCCAACCTTCGCCGGGAAGTCCACCTACCTTTATCCGGTGCACGCCAGCCTCCCCGTGGATCCCTGTGGATAGATGCAAGCACTGCTGACCTGCTTGGGGCCTGGGGATTCGCTCAGTGTGGTCTGGTCAAGGATTTTCTAAGTGCTCAGCACCAGGCTAGGCACGTGGACGTGGGGGAGTGCGGGCTGGGGGGAAACCGACAAAATAATGAAAAATACACCATCTCTGGCTTGGTGGTGGAGAGAGCCAGAACGTTACTTTTTTTTTTTTTTTTTTTTTTTTTTTTGTTTGGTGCATTGCCAGGTGGATTCTTAACCACTGCGCCAGCAGGGAAGCCCTAAAAAGATCAGACTTTTGTTTAAAGTAAGAGTAAGTAGACTATGGGTCAAAACTTGACAGTACAGGGACTTCCCTGCTGGCCCAGTGGTTAAGAATCTGCCTTCCAATGTAGGGGATGTGGTTTTGATCCCTGGTTGGGGAACTAAGATCCCACATGCCGCAGGGCAACTAAGCCCACCCCCGTGAACTTGGCTATCCAGAGTGCCTTTCTTTAGTTTTCTTTCTGCCTCGTATTTACATTTATTTGAGGGACATTTCTTTTCTTCTTTTCTGTTTTTTTTTGCTGCCCCGTGCAGCATGTGGGATCCTATTTCCCTGACCAGGGATTGAACCTGCGCCCCCTGCATTGGAAGCGTGGAGTGCTAACCACTGGACCACCAGGGAAGTCCCCTTAACTTTTAACTAGTTAAGTAGCTTAACTAGAGGCAGTCACAGGGGCCAGCTGAGGCCTCTGCCCATCACTTGGGAAGCACAGGAGAGGAAAAGGGAAGGTTTTGCAGCTGGGGTGGCCTCTGAACGGCTCTTGAAAGAGGGGCTGCATCTTGGCAGGGGCAGGGGTACCTGAGAATGGTGGGAGCACAGGCAAGGAGGTGGGCAAGGCACAGAGCCCCTGTGACCAGAGCCCTGCGTGTGGAGGGCAAAGCTGGTAGAAATCAGGCACGTTGGGCCAGAAGGGCCTCATGCCCCACTTAAAAATACTAAGACCCCCTAGGGGACGGCTCCATGTGAGCAGAAGGACCAGGTACATGGCTCCCAGGGCAGAAGACAGGGAAAAACCCAGGCAGCAGGCATGGCTGGACCGGGGAGGGGGTGGAGGTCACAAGCTTACCCAGGCCCAGTTCCACCTCATCGGCTGAGAGCTCAAAGGTGGGTTTGGAACCCGGCACACTGCAGGAGGACAAGCTCACTCCCAGGGTTCCTAAGAGAAATGAGGTATGAAAGGGACGACTACTGTGCTCTCGGCGTCAGGCAGCAGCAATGCCTCGGAAGCCTCTTCACCGAGACAAGCTGTCAGACTCTTCATCTCAGTGATGGAAGAAAAACCTGGCTCTGGGGACCCAAGGCTGCTGTTCTCAGGAGCTCCCGCAGGGAGACCCTCCCTCAGCCCCTGGGGAGTGACTCGGGAGGCCTCCTGTGCTGCTGCCGGGAACCTGCTCCTGGTCCAAGGTGGGGCCTCGACCACCCCCGCCTCCTCCCCAAGCCCTGGGCCGGCACTCACCCATGGCCTTGGCGACCTCGCTCACCCGGTCTGTGGTCTCCTCCAGCCCCGCACCTGCCTCAGCCAGGGCACCCGCCACCTGCGCCCACACAGAGATAGGCCCCCAACGGGAAAGGAGTCACTGTACCACTTGAGGGCAGAAGACAGGTGGGAGCTGAATTTCTAGTTGGGAACAGGGAATCTCTTTGTCCTGCCACATCAACCTGGCCCGCCACGTTTAGTGCACCTGCCAGGAATATTCAAGAATCCCAGAGCCAGGGAAACTTTACAAATGGAGAGATGGGCCCAGAGAGGAGAGATGATTTGTCCACTGTCACACAGTCAGTTGGTGGCTAGTTTCCCAATTCCTAGCCTACAGTTCTTTCTCCATGGCATATACACAGTGGCTCACTTTACCCACCTACCCACTTTTTGGCTAAGCGTCTAGTATATGCTGAAAAGGGGAACAAAGGTGTCTAAGTCACAGTCCCTACCTTGAAGGAACTCGGTCTGGGAAGGGGTTGGGGAAAGAGACAACACAAACTGAACATTTCATGTGAGGTGGCAAATCCGACGATGGACAGGTGTTATGGGAACACTGAGGAGGGGGTCCTAGCGTGCTTGGTGTGGTGAGAGGGAAAACCTCCCAGAGAGAGAGACGTCAGAGGTGGGCCTCCACAGAATAGTAGGACACAGCCAGGCCAAAGGGGGTTGGACAGGGAAAGGATTTTCAAGGCCAACGACTCAGCAGCAGCAAGGCCCCAAAGGTGAGCCACAGCCCAGTGGTACAGAGAACTGGTGTTAATGGAGCATGAGGGGACCACAGGGATGATGGGAGAGGAACTTGAGAGAGGAGGGGCACGAGTGTGGTGGGCGCCTGACCGAGGAGTCTGGGTTGACTCTGGGAACCCTGGGGGGCTTTCTGTAGGGGAACAACCTGGTCAGATACACATTTTCGAAAGACACCTGTGGGGTGGTGTGGGGAAGAGACTGGGGGGTGGGCAGGAAGCAGGCAGGGGAGCCGGCTGGGGAGGCGGCTGCAGCCACCTGGGCGTGAGCAGATGAGCACTGAAACGAGGCTGAGACAGGAAGGGCAGGCCTTGGAGGAGGATGCGTGTTTGGAGGCGCTGGGGAGCAGGGTCACCAGGACGGGGCGATGGTTGCAGGTGGGGAAGGGCAGGGAAGGGGCCGGGACAATGAATGCCTGGATCCAGGCGGACGTGGTTTTGGGGACGGTGGGGCCCTCCTGGATCGGGGAACGCTGGGGAAGGAGTGGCTTCCTGGCAGGGTGGGATAGATGGCTGGAAAGGTCCAGCACCAGGTGCTGCCTGGAGAGAGAGGGCTGGGACGGGCTGGCCAGTGGTGTCCCAGGAGGGGACCCTCACCTTGTGTATGAGCACTGTGCCACAGAGCCCACGCCTGCCTGCCTTCTTCAGGACGGTGAAGGCACTGTCATCCCCGATGACCACCATCTCCACAGGGATGCCCTCAGCCCGGGCCTGCTCCCGGGCCAGGCCAAAGTTGAGCCGATCCCCAGTGTAGTTCTTCACGATGAGGAGGGTCCCCACTGCGGGAGCAGTCGGTAGGGCCCCATCAGCACTCGCGCTCCCCACAGCGGCCCCTCCCGCATGCCAGGCTTACCTGTGCCTGCCTGGGCCACTGCCCTGATGGCCGCCAGGATGCTGCCCACTGCCGGGGAGGTGAACACGGCTCCCACAATGACCCCTGTCAGCATCCCCTTCCCTATGAAACCTGAGACAGAGAGGTGGGGAGAGGATGTTGGGTGGGGACCTGTGCCTGCAATCCCTGGGGCTCCCCACGCTCCTGGGCTTCATGGTTTGGTGAGCCCTACTGTGCACTTGGTGCAGAAGAGTACCTGTGCTGCTCTCCCCAGATCTATCACCTCCTTGGAGAGGCCTTCCCCGACCTCCCAACTGAAGTACTCACTCACCCATGCCCAGCTACTCGTTGTCACTTTACCCTGCTCTCCTGTCTTCACTACCTCACTTACATGCTCTGGAATGATCTCTTTCACTTATGTGTTTACCTGGTTTCTGTCTCCCCAAAGGAGAATAGAAGCTCCATGAGGGCAGGCGCCTTGTCTGTCTGGGTCACTTTTGCGCCCCTAGTGGCCAGACAGTGCCAGGCACACAGCAGGTGCTCATGAATGTTTGCTGCTGAATGGATGGATGAATTTGCCAGAGAGAAACAGGAAAGATACAGATGATACAAAGCCTGGTCCCTACTCCTCCCCATGCCCCCATCCCCAAGCTCTCATGGAGAGTTCACATGCCTGGCACTAAACAGGAAACAATCCAGGACTGTCCATGTTGAATGTGAAAATGCACGGTGGGAAGAGGAATACTGCGCTGGGCTGAAAAAGTCAGGCAGGCTTCATGGAGAAGGGGACGGCGGGTCAGCTGGGCCTGGGAGGCCAGGAGGATTCACGGAATCACTGACTATCAGAGCTGGAAAGGCCTGAGAGGTCATTTGGCCCCACCTTGTGCTTTTACAGATGTAGAGACTGAGGCACAGAGAGAGGCCACGACTGGCCCCAGATCACAGCTCAAGGGAGTGGGCGAGCCAGAGTCAGGACTGGGCTCCTGACTCTGGGCCAGGCTCTGTCCTGAACCTCCTAACAGCACCAAAGATCTCCCAGGAGCCCCCCGTCCACTCTGCCCAGAGCCCACTGCCACCTCTGGCCCAGGGTGCTCACCGGCATGGGCGGGCTCATGGCCAGAGCCCCCACCCGACAGTAGTGCCACCTGGCCCTTGAGACTGTCCAGGTCAGAGCGGAGGGCCACACGGTGGCCTTGCAGGAGCTGCAGGTTGGGGTTGCAGGCCACCAGGCCAGCAAGGGTGTCATCGGCACAGCCTGCCACCGAGTTCACTAGCTTCTTGGAGGTCTGTGGGAGAGGAGCGAGATGAGGTTCTGGTGGAGTTGGCAGGGCAGCCCCATCCTGCCCAGCTACGTTGCTATGACTCACACCCCAGCTCACACCCACCCAGGAACTCCAGGCAACAGTGGTTCCTTGAATTAGGCATCTTTTTATAAGGTGGATGTTCCCATGACTTATTTTGCAACTTATTCAGTAACTAATTTATGGCTTAAATTTATCCTGCAGAATGACTTTGATACAAAGAAAATGGGGTAACTGGAGTTCGAAGTATAAAAAAATTAATGAAGCTGGGGGACTGCCCTGGCGGTCCAGTGGGTAAGACTCTGAGCTTCCACTGCAGGGGGCGTGGGTTCGATCCCTGGTCAGGGAACTAAGATCCTGCATGCTGCACGGTGCGGCCAAAAAATAAAGTAAAACAAATAAAGTAAAATAAAATTTAAAACTGGGGCCCAACAGCCTTCTGTCAAAGGAGGAGAAGCCCCAGGTTGGCGCTCCTGGGCCAGGGGAGGGGGCCAGACAGGGCCCACACCCATCTGCTTCCTCTGCAAAATAGGGATTTAGTAAACTAGAGTATATGCCCGCTATATAGCAAAAAACTGAATGCAAAGGAGCTACTCCCTTCTTCAACCAGCTCTGAAAAGCTGGAGCTAGCTGAATGAGGTCTGGAGACTGTGTGCAGCTCCTGCCTTTGTCCCAAACAGTGAAACTGGTGCCCAATAGGGTCAGAGAGGGCCAGGCTACCAGCATCGCCTGGTGGCCTGGGGGAAGCCTGCAGCTGAGTTTTCCCGGAGGCCCCTTCCCCAAGCCTGCCAGAACTCCATTCCTTCACACAAACTTTGGCCTTTCCTGGGTCTGGCGGGGGCCAGAGCAGTGACTGTGAGCCACACCTCGTTTTAAGTGCTTTTAAGCACATCTCGTTTAATCTTCCAACAACCCTATGCAGGAAAATTAGCCCAGTGAAGAAACAGGCAGATTTACATGACTTTGCCCAAGGTCACACAGCCAGCAAGTGACCGGGTCCACCTGGCTCCAAAGCTGGTTCCATTTTGGCCTTATCATGCTGCTCTCCCCAGGGGCTGAAGGGAGGCCGAGAGTGGCAGAGGTCCTGTCCTAGGAAGGGCACGGGCTTGTGGCTCTCAGAGCCTGCCAAGGACTGGAATACGCAATAAAGTTGAGAGTGGGTCTCAATTCCAAGCCCAGTCTCCAGCACCACCACCCTCCAAGAACGTGCTCCCTTGCCATCCCTGACAGTCTATCCTGCTTGGGATTTGCAACCATTCCCGAACCAGAGCTAGAGGAGGGCTTGGGGTCCAGTGCCATCCTTGGTTCCCAGTGGCCTGAGGGGATGGAAAAAGAAAGAAAAGTCGACCAGGCAACTATGGGAGGCCCCTAGGACCCTGGTCTGATCAACATCTCACCTTTTAAACTGCAGATGAGGAAAGAGGCTCAGAGAGGTCAAGTCTTTGGTAGAACGTCACATAGCTGGTTGGTGGTAGGCTGAAATTTGAACCCAGGTCTGCCCAGGCCTGTTTTCCTCCAGATCAGTTCTAGAATGGGCCTGGGGCATGCCCAGGGGCATGCCGAGCCTCCTGCAGTGAGTGCAGATCCCACAAGCCCACACATGCCCAAGGCTCTGGAAGAGGCACCAGGTCTTTCTTCATGACTCCTGTGACTGGTACTGTCTATTACAGAATAGGCAGCTGTTAATGTTCTAATCTAAAGGCATGACCCAGACCAGGGGCAGATGGGCCCTGGAGGGACTCAGAGGCTGTAGCCACAGGCCTGGCTGGGCCCAGCTGGGAAATGAAGGGAAGTCAGGCCCTGAGACGGAGGATGACCCTCTCTCTTAACCTCAGGAGGCAGCAGCATCTCTTGGTCAGGGAGCAAGGAACTCCAACATGCCCAGGGCTGGCACCCCTACTGCCCCAAGACCAGAATGCCCTTCCTCTGCCCTGGCCCTCAGGGGACTCACCATGGTGGGGAGGCTCTGAAGGAAGTTGAGTTCGCACCTTTGCACTGAGCTGCCGGAGGATGGGCAATCCCGTGGGTGCTACCAGGCCTGAGCACAGTGAAGGTGACAAGCAGTATCTGCAAGAGGGGGTAACAACGTGAGCTGCTAAAGGCACTTGCAGCCTACTGGCACAATCGTGCTTTCAGGGCCCTAGTAATTAGGTAGCTGTCCCAGACTTTGACCCAAGTCCAAACTCTAGAATGTGAGCTGGGGATGGAGAAGAGCATGGGGCTGACCAAGGTTCATGCCTGCACCTGGCTGCCAGAACACTGACTGATCCATGTTGGGCACACGGCTGCCTTACGCTCAGGAGTGGTGCCCACCTTATCACCAAGGGGCAAAGTTACCCACAGAGTAACTTCATCTATTACACAGGCCTCGCATGCAGTGAATACATTCATAAAGATCTTCACACACTTGCTCTTGTCAGTGTTGGGACCACACCAGGAAGGTGACAGCTGAGTCTGACTCCATTTTGCTTTTGGGAAACCGACCCAGAGAGCTCTGGTGATGTGTCCAAGGTCATACTGTTAAGAGCCAGGACTCAAACCTATGTTTAGTTTTTCTACAAATCCCGTGTTCTTTCTACTGATAATTCAATGCCTCTAAAGTAAGGCAGAATGTCCCACATGCATAAAACCACACAGTAACCACAACGACGTTTTAGCTCCTTTTGGTTCAGTCAGGTTCAGAGGTGTCTTGGAGTCATCCAGGGTCTTGGGTTCACTGCATGTGTCTGCAGTGGAAAGAATCCACACCTGCCTCGGCACCTAGCTCTGTCTCTTACTGGGGGATCTTGGGTAAACCAGTTCCCCTGAGGCTCAGCTTCCTCATCTGTAAAATGGGGGCTGCCTCCTCTGCGGCCTTGCAGCAGGTGCTTCAAACCACGTGGCTCCCCTCCTATTCCCTGCAGGGCCTGTCTGATGTGGAGCGGCCTGGAAGTTGCAGGGCTAACTGACTGCTTTCCTGGGTCCCTAAGGTTCTCACCAGGGAATTTTTGGTTTTGTGTTTGAGGTCAGAATTTGCACAGCCACGGGGGGACTAACTGTGCTGGGCAAGTGGCCTGCTTGGCCCTTGAAACACAAAATCTCAAACACAAACACAAAGTTCAAAGGGAAGAGGGGAGAGCCTAAGTGCCTCCCCCCCCGCGCATGCCAGGTGAAGCGGAGTGATCGGTCAACCTAGGGTCAGAGCAGGGTTGGGTTTAGAGGTACTGGGAAAGCTAAGGGAAGGGAGGTACAAACCTCGGTTCTAGTCTGGGAGGTGCACAAATTGATGTCACCTTCCTCCCCTCTCTAGGCCTCTGCAGTACCTTCCGGTTCCAAAAGGCGGAACAACCCCGAAGGCTCCTGGAGCAAGGAAGATGGAGTGGACGGGGTCTGGGAAAGGGCGAGGGGCGCGGACTAGGGATGAGGTCAGCGGGTCAGCTCCGGAGGAGGAGGAGGAGGAGGAGGAGGCGTCGGTGCACCTCCGCGACCAGCTCTCGCCAGCGTCCACCACCTCGGGAACCTCCGCTGCTTCCCAGGGACCCGGCAGGGCGCCCTCATCCGGGTACTCCAAGCTCGGGCGGTAGAAGATGGGCGGGGCCTCTGGGGGCGGGGCCTCCCTTGGTTGGCCGCCTCGGCGCCTTGAGTCCTCCAAGAGGCCAGGTGAGCCCGTCCCGTGATGCCCCGCGCCCCGGCCGCTCTGGCCTGCAACGTGTCTCTGGGGCGGAGACAGCGGCAGTGGAGTTCGCCGTGCGCGGGTGGGGGCTCCCTGTCTCTTTGCTCGTGTCCGTCTGTTTTTCGTTTCGCCTGAGTCCCGCTGGGCTGCCCCAGGCCTCGACATGTCGTACAACTACGTGGTAACGGCACAGAAGCCCACCGCCGTGAACGGCTGCGTGACGGGTGAGGCTGCCAGGGCAGGAGACCCCGGTGAGGGAGGGAGCTGGGGGGAACCGAGGCCTAGGGAAGCCCGCGGCCCCCGGGTTGCCGCCAGGACCAGGCCCAGGGAATGGAAGGCGCTGGCGGCCGAGGGACCTCCCACAGCCCACGGCTTAAAAGCAGCTGTCTCCACACGCGCCTTTGGGGGAGTAAAAGCTGCTCTTGAGGGTCCCCTTTCGTTCTCGGAGGTCACTTGGCCTCGAGGACAGGACGCGCCCAGTGGGACAGAGAGTGGAATGTGAGTTGTTTGTGCGGTGTTGCTTGGGCCGCGAGATTGGCCGCGTGTGGTTAGGGGGGAAGGGGCGGTGATGATGGCGACTTTGGGGCAAGAGCCTGGGAGGTGCAGGAGGTGGAGGGATGTGAGGAATGTCCGTACTCACCCGAAAGAGAGGAGTCCGCTTTGCCTGGGGCTGTTGTTTACAAGAGGGAGCTGTTGGAGAAGAGGGTTTGGAATGGCCCAGCCCAGCGCTGGGTTTGCCTTGTTTGTTTATGCAAGAATTGTTAAGGACGCAGATGTCCAGAACCCAGCAATAATCATCTTGAACCAAGTTCTCAACAGAATATGAAGCTCTCAAACTTGTATTTTTATGTAAATCCGAATCATGATTCTGAAAGAAAACTGTTGTTGGAGAGCTGGAGGCTATGAAAGAGTG